GGCACGAACCGGGACCAATGGTTGTGGGCCAGGAGCGAGGCTCATTGGTCCCGGTTCATCCCACCAACCGGGACCAATGGCCCACGTGGCCCGGCCGGCCCTCTGGGCTCATGAACCGGGACCAATGCCCCCATTGGTCCCGATTCTGGACTGAACCGGGACTAATGGGCTGACCCGGCCTGGACCAAAGCCCTGTTTTCTACTAGTGCCCGAAGCAAACGACACAAAGATTTCCCATAAAAGACAAACATAAATGAGAAGGAGTCGACTGGGTTTTCAGATAAATCCATAGCTGTAATTCGGAAAAATAACTCAGCTTGATACAATAATATTAACAAAACACACCTACTGTCAGATTTGCTGGTTTTTCCTAAAAGCAGATACTCATCAATATTGTAAAAATGAAAAAAACTCATAGTATTAGCTGGTCAAAACAGAGAAATTTCCCGGAGCTATTCTGAAGCTTGTTCCACACCATGCAAATTATTTTTAAGTGATCCTTTTTAAATTATCTTTCAATAAATTTAGCACGAAATGATGAAGATGAACTCTGGTTATTACTTTTTCCTTCTACATATGGAATTTGCCACAGGGAGAACAGTCCTATAAAAGATAATGGAAATTTATCTTACTTTTCAAACCAAGTGTTTATTATGGATTTAAGATTGTTAGTAATATCAGCAGGGACAACAATACAGAATGAAGGAAATATAACTAGGCTTGAGCATCCAAAGCGTCCAAGCCAGTTTTTCATGTAGTCAACTTCTAAGTTTTGTGTATCTCCTATTGGGTAAAAATGGCACTGCAGGTAGCACTAACACTAACATTGGACAATTCCTGCATATATTAATGAGCAGACAATGATGGAATTTATTTCAATTATTCTACAAAGAATTTGCCAATCTTGTATTCAGAAGAACAGCGCACCACAGAACATCATCGCTATACGTTAAAGAGATCATCAAGCAGCAAAATAAACAACTGGTACGACACTAATTAAAATTGTTGGCTTAACAAGAAATTAAGTGAACATAATTGCATCAGCCAATTATCAAAAATTAACTTGGTTTTGTTATATCTGCAATGTAAGGCATGCTACTACCTGCACTGTAGACACTTTCAAATGGATGATAGTAAGAAAAGATCATGGTTTTATAAAGATTCTTGAACTCCAATGACTCAAGCTGGATCATCAAGACGCCGATAACTGTCCACAGAAACATCACATTATTCTGCTCAGCAAATCCCAGTATTGCAAGGGGCTCTTTCTCCTCCGATTTCAGGGGAAGTAGCTTGTCCAGTTCAATAGTTCTTCCAAGCTCCCACGAAGCGACACCATCACAATCAGTGTTCCTCTTCCATAACTTGGCAGTGTAGTCAGATTCCGAAACAACAAGGAAACCCAGCCCACCAACCTCGGCCCGCATAACCTTGAAGCACTTTCCCTCGCCATACATATCCACTGGCACCCGTATCACAGCTAGACTCTGCTTCTCCAAATCGAATGCAAGAATTCCAGTCATATTCCCAGCAAGCTTCCAGTAAAGGGAACCTCCAGCCAGCACAGCATCATCTGTATAAACCATGGTAGGGACACGGAATGAACTATCAGAAGGCTGGTATGGAATCGGTGTTGAGATCAGATTTCCCCATAAGCCAGTCTTTGACGAGTAAACACAAGCAAGCGCCCGTATATGTTGTTCGTCGTCGCCATCTGCGACTACCAAGACCACCTGGAAGTGTCGGGCGTCTTCGGCAGCACGAAGAACCGCCCCATTGATCAGGCCGATCAGGGTTTTCTTGTCATCGAACGCTGCAGGAATGGCAATGCGGTGCTGGTCGCCGGTGACGGGGTCCCACACCAGGACCTGGAGACGCTCACGGAGGAAGAGGAGCATGAGGCCATCGCGGCATCCAAGGGAGCTGGAGCAGCTGCCGAAGTCGGGGCACTGGAAGGAGAAGCGCTCGCAGGGAACACGATTGGGGGCCTCCAGAGTGGGCAGGAAGGAGAGGATATCAAATCTGTCGAAGAAGCCGAGGAGGGGAGGGTTGCGGCGGTGGCGGAGGCGGAATCGGCGGAAGAAGCCGGGGTCGGAGACGAGGCAGCGCCAGCGCTTGCAGACGAGGGAGGCGCCAGGGAGGGAGGAGGGCTGCGGGGGAAGGCGGAGCAGGATCTCGCAGAGGAGGTCGTCGTCGTCCAGCGGCGCGGACGCCGGCGAGCGGGCGTGGCGGCGGCGGCGGCTACTCATCTCGCCCTAGCTCGCTGGCGTGGGGAATGGCAGTAGACTCGGACTAGCAGGAGACACTGGTCCATGGTGGGATGTGAAGTGGAGTGAGAGCCCGTGACTATTTCACTTTGCCTTCACTGTTCGAGAGCCCATGGCCCATAGTAGCTACACAAACATTGAAGCCCATGATTTTTTCATATTTTTTATTTTTGTGAGTGACAGTTTTTAAGTCATCGTAGATTTCTTTCCATTTCACCTCGTTATACAACGGTTTATTCCATGTAAGAAAAAACACCACCTGAAATTTTGATCCCACACGAAAGACAAATGTGGCTGCTAGCAAGGGCTCATATCACAAAATATTGAAAATTACTACATGAATTCTTTTTAGTCCTAGAAAAAAGTCTATCTCACTCATTTTAACTGTAAATTAAGTGATACTTGTTTCAAAAATATATGTTTGACATATACTATCAATGAATAAATTGTTTTAATTTTTTACCATGAATTGAATTTAAATTTATCTGAATTTAGTTTTAGAATCAAAGTTGTTTGAAAAATAAATCATTTCCAAAAAAATATATTATATTTATCGGAATTTGTAGGAACAAATATCATTGTACTCTGCCAGCCCCCTAAATTGGTACCCAATAAAATATCCCCAGCACCCGTTGTGGAGGGCTGTTTTGCTCACACGCCGCACCTTCGATGTGGTTTTAGACCCACAAATGGCAACCATTCTCATGTTGCAAAGCGTTTTTTTTTTGGAAGGTTTCACGTGAGTTAGAGACGAACAACGAGAAAAGTAATTAATCATATGATATACCTCTTAAACAGTTCTTTAACACATTTGCTTACATACACAAGTATACAAGGATGTGGTGTGTATGTGTGTGTGTGCGCGCGCGTTTGTGTGCGTGTTTGTGTGTGTGTGTGTGTGTGTGTAAATTTTCAGAATGAAATACCTTAAGATGCAGTCTGTGCAAAAAGAACAAATTCATGGACTTTTGGGATGAATAGTATCATGTGTTGAAAAGTCACAGGTTTTTCTTTTCTGCATAGCCTTATTTCAACATATTTCGTCCTGAAAATTTACGCACATGTGTTATGCATCCATGTATGTTTGTTTTTTAGTTTTTTTAAAATGTAAAAATATGAATTTTGAATTTTTCAAAAACCGTTACATGGAGGCCGAGCTCCAAAAGCAATTTTTGATATATTCACCCCTATAAAAGCATGCACGACTTAAAGCCTAATGGGTTGGTTTCACCACAAGGAACCTAAACCATCTAAGCTAAGCTCAAGTCACTATACCTATTTAAATAGTTCTCACATCAGCTCTGCTCCATAGGTAGGTAGAACCACTGTGAATATACGCCATGTTAGCACAAATATAGCTATATGGGTTATCTTATTCTTATGTATGGTTTTGTTCATGTGTATCATCATCACTCATAAATACCCGCCTTGGTGAGAAACACCGATACAGAAGACTTCAAGCTCCAAAGGGTATGACTGGCATGCGGATGGTGCTGGAAATCGTCGACCTCTCGAGACCAGAAAGGCACGGTTTCACTTCCATCAGTTATGCCCTCTCTCCAGCACGTAAAGTGTCAGATTCGAAGGACAAAGAGTGCATCCCGATGGCAATGCATCGGACGATGCCGCCCATAGATAGGGGATATGCTTCGTTTGTATGTTTGCCCGAAGTCTCGCGAGCTTGTCTATTCTACATGTCGGGTGGTACAGACTACAGACCAAGTTAAATTTCCCAAGTTCTCCGCGAATTAACCGAGTTTTGTCCATCTCTTATGACTGAAATATGATGATAGTTCTCCCGCCGTCACTGAGATTTGTCGTGGATACTATGATCTGTGCGTGTGCTGTGTCACAGCTGCTGTAGACATTTCTTACCACTGAATTTTCAGGAGCTCTTTCTTTTAACAAAAAATATATATGTGGGAGCTTAGGATGTTGAGCATGTGTGTCTTGCTTCATTGCACTACGTATGTAAAAGTTTGTGTATCTTAAAGCAAAGGCCGCCATCGTTTTGTGGAAGCAAATTAATTGTAATATTTATTCTGCATTGATTTAGAAAACCATCTCCTATTCACAATCTTTGCCAGATTATTCACCATCTTTGCCAGGAAGTAAGTTGAGACATATACTTCTTAAAAGCCCATCATAAACGAATCCAAGCCTTCCCAGCATATATACTATCATGTCAAGGAGAGCAAAAAAGTGTTGCCCCTCGCCATGATCACATGGACACTTGTATCTATGCAGTACTACCAAATAGCACCAGGTAACTAAGCTTCTAAAATAATCAGATAGACATTCAACAAAATACACGCAAAATCAGCTAGAAACTTCCCTGCCTGATACAACAGCACACATGCATGCACAGTAAAATGCAAGGAAGAGGTGAGCTCGCCAGAACATGCTTGCTTGAGAAATGAAGCAAAAACCAAATTAAATGAAACGCAAGGAAAATACTTATTGAACGAACCAAGTCAACCATCATTCATGCCAGTCGACGAATGTCCACAAGAATTAGATAGTCAGCAAATTAAGCGACTAATTCCTACAAGTCCATTTCACAGCTGACAAGTGCTTATGCTGCATAGAGAGGGTAAATGCCAGTCTCCATGTCAAGCATACAAAATGGAAGAACCTACATGCACCCAACAAGCCATTACTGCATTTGAGTCACCGGAATGTAACTCCAAACCTGCCGAGCAAGCAGTATCATCAGTCAAACCATTATGTACTATTTATTCAGGAAAATCCGTTGTTGTCATTCTCATGACCTTTGTATGACTCAAACAAAAAAACATTAGCTTCACCATGTGGAAGTTTTGTAAAAGGTTCCAAACTTGAATCATCTCGGCATTATTAGAAAAAGAAAAAAACATTACAAACAGAAAACAACAGGTAATTTGTAGTGTATTACCATGCCTTCAGCATCTATTCTTTTTGAAGTTTTTTGCTACATTTACCTGATTGAAGCTAGAAAAACAGCGGTCATATGAGGGGCTCATGGTGGTCTCGTAGAGTAGGAAAGAAGAGACATCTGGTTTCTACCTCATAGGCCTACTTTTTAAAAACGTACGAGTTGGCTAGTCAGCAACGAATCAAATTCCATCAAAATCCATATTATACAAGCTTCAAGCAAGGACCGTTATCATCTTATTTATTAGTTGAACTTCCTTAGATCCAAAATGACTGCCACTTTTCACTTTTCACAGCATAAAGCAATAATTTCACTACTACTGTAAAGATAATATGCTAACAGAAGTACTACATTAGCGATGAAAGCAGTTTATATGGCTACATTTGGCCTGAGTAGAAGCTAAAAGAACAGTGGGCCTATGAAAGGCTCATGGGATGGAGTAGGATAGAAGATCTTATTTCTATCTCACAGGCATAATTTTACAAATGTACGAGCTAGCTAGTCACTAATGAATGGAATTTCATCAAAATTCATGTTGTACAAGCTTCAAGCAAGGGATTATGCATCATCTTATTAACTGAAACTTCATTTGAACCATAATGACTGCCATCTTTTTACTCTTAAGTCTTGACATCAAGCAATAATTTCACCACTAGTCTAAAGTATTAACACATGTCATTTTGAACTGTGTTTGATACAAAGTATTAACACTTCATGGTAGCCAAAATTGAAGAACTTGACTCCACACAAAGCATAGCTGCCTATATTTTGGACCAACCAAATTACATTAGTGGCTGATGGCCAATTACATACAAGTTTGAAGGGCAATGAGTGACCTTTTCTAAGAAAATGCTTGAGCAAACAGCCTAAAACAAGTAAAAAAACTAAATAACTGCAAGCAAACGATGAACGGCAGTATACGATTTAACAAAGGGAATATCAAGTATTGTGGCAATCATTAATTCAATGGGTATCACAATGATCCAAAACAATCAGCAACATGAAATGGGATACCAATAAAGGAACTTTGAAAACAGATGCTCGGGTATTGTTAGCTATCAATTACTTATTCACTTGTGTAGACGGGACAACATGCAAATCACACTAGGACTTGATTGGCCCATAACCACAGTGGGTAAAAAGTAAAAGGCAATGCTGCGAAGAGTAAAACAGAAACACAAATATATCACTAAAGCAAAGTAAAGGTTAGTGCTTCATTTCCTACTACTTAGCATGACAACATTCTCAACTCTAAGCAGGCACAAACATATGCACAAATAGGGAAAGAGGAAGAGTCATAAGTCATCAGCCACTCACTGGAGGGGCTAGAGGGAGAAGAGCCACTACTAGAAGGAACTTGGAGAGTGCTAAGGAGGAGAACAACTGAAAGCAAGGAAGCTGGATGGAAGGGAGGGCAAACAAGGAGCATATCCAGTAGAAATGAGATAGAACATCAGTAGGAGATAAGCTTACCTGCTCAACCAGTAGATCAAATAGGATATCCAACCGGACAATCATCTTATGCATCGACCAAAAGCTCAGCCACATGTTCCTAAAAGCATAAGAAGTCAAACAATGTATCATATGGGAAGAGTACACGGTTGCCGCAATAAGGATAAGGTGAAGGAACTGAAGGCTTGATCCTCAAGTCAGCCCCTGATTTCCACATAAAATATATTATCCATATCAAATACTCCCTCTGTAACTAAATATACGACGTTTTTGCAGTTCAGATTTAGTTACAGAGGTAATACATTAGTTATTTTACAAAGTTAGTTAGTGCATGCCCTATCCAGATGAAACATCTGAAGCTTTCTTATTTACTAACTTGCTATACAAAGAGAGTCCTATATTGTAACCAGTATTAGCTATCAATAAACCCGAAGCGGGATGTTTGGCTCGCTCACGACATTCAGATGAAAGACATAGAAACGAGATGCATCACCTAGGTATTTAGGTAAATCCATTGGTGTAATTCAAGAAAAGCAACTCGGATTTGATACAATAACGAAACAGATAAATATAATACACCTATTGCCAAATTTAGTGAATATTCCCAAAACAGTGC